AATGTGAAATTAAGCTGGTTTAAAAAAGGAAAAGCTATACCAGGATCTAGTTGTTAGTTTTGTATAATCAATTCTTTCCTTCATATATTCTTTAAACAAATATTTATTGTGTGCACATCAAAAACCTGAATGATATATATTTAAAAAACAAAAAGAAAAATCGCTGTACAAGACCTACTGTCCTTATACAATACCTGAGCTTTAGGTCACAAAGGTCATTGGTACTTTTAAACACTTCTGTAAAAAGTGTCTCATTTTTCCTGTTTGATCACATTTTATGCTCTTACTCTGAACTTTGTAGCTTTTTAAAAAAATATATTTTTTATTGATTTCAGAGAGTAAGAAAGAGGAAGAGAGACAGAAACATCAATGATGAGGTAGAATCATTGATCGGCTGCCTCTTGCATGCCTCCTACTGGGGATCGAGCCCGCAACCCAGGAACGTGCCCTGATGGGAAATCGAACTGTGACCTCCTGGTTCATAAGTCTATGCTCAACCACTGAGGCATGCTGGCTGGGCCAATTATTCTTTACTGGAGGCCTGATGCACGAAATTTGGGCAAGAGTAGGACTTTAGATGATAGATAGATAGTTGATAGATAGATAGGTAGATAGATAGATAGATAGACTTACATAATTTTATAAAGAACATTTTTAGCTTCTGTTAACGCATACCAGAATCACCATATATTTTATCATATGGAGTTGCATTATTTTTATTAGCTTTTTAAAAAAATATATTTTTTATTGATTTCAGAGAGTAAGAAAGAGGAAGAGAGACAGAAACATCAATGATGAGGTAGAATCATTGATCGGCTGCCTCTTGCATGCCTCCTACTGGGGATCGAGCCCGCAACCCAGGAACGTGCCCTGATGGGGAATCGAACCATGACCTCCTGGTTCATAGATTTATGTTCAACAACTGAGCCACACTGGCCAGGATTAACTTGGTAACTTTTTAAGTATTTCACTTAATTCTACTTGAGTGGTGGTAAATGTATGTACAGCTCCTTTCACTAAAATATGTTGACTGACAGAACTTAGCAGCTAAAGTTCTATGCAACCAAGCTTGCCTCTTTCTTTTTTATTTTATTTTATTTTTATTTTTTATTTATATTTATTTTTGAATCCATTCATCTACTGATGGGCACTTAGGCTGTTTCCAGATCTTAGCTATGGTGAATTGTGCTGCTATGAACATAGGGGTGCATATATCCTTTCTGATTGGTGTTTCTGGTTTCTTGGGATATATTCCTAGAAGTGGGATCACAGGGTCAAATGGGAGTTTAGAGTTGTGAGTACGTGAAAGATGAGTTTATTCTTATATTATTGTTTCTTAGTTATTGTATTATTTATTGTTGATAAACTTACGTTTGCCCACATCTGTAAATTGTGGGATACACAAATTGTGTATAACAATTTATCAGTTAAGGACATTTGGACTCACTTTTTCCAGTTTTCAGCTATTATGAACAAGCTCCTATGTATATGCAAACATGAGTCTTGGGTTGATATATGTTTTTATTGTTTTTTAGTAGATAGCCAGGACTAGAACTGCTGGCTGGTATGGTAAGTGTACATCTATAATAATAAAAGCATAATATGCTAATTAGACAGGACATCCTTCTGGATGAAGCCGGGGTTATAAGGGAAGCCCGGGTCCCAGTACCTGCCAGCCCGAAAGGAAGCCCGGGTCCCAGGTGCCAGAGGGAAGCCACTGCCGGCAGCCGACGGAAGGAAGGCCTACTCTTGCATGAATTTTGTGCATCGGGCCTCTAGTCTATATATATAAAAGCCTAAGCAACTGACCAACCATTTGACCGTTCGCCCAGTAGCTATGATGCACAATGACCACCAGGGGGCAGACGCTCTGACCAATAGAGAAGGAAGCCTGGTTCCTCATGGTATCGGCCATGGGTTAGGTTGCTGCTGGGGCACTGTTGGCCCCGAATCTGGTTCACCCATACCCAGGACCCAGAGAGGAGGAGGAGGGAGCCAGTATGTGTCCAGGTCCTGGGGGCTGGGCCTGCAAGAGGGGTCTCCCAATCCAAGACCCCTCGGGGGATGTTGGAGAGCCAGTTTCAGCCTGTTTCCCGCAAACCAAGCCGAGGGACCCCACTGATGCATGAATCCGTGCACTGGGCCTCTATTTGTAATTTATAAGAACCTGCCAAACTGTTCCACAAAGTGGCTGTGCTACTTTGCATTCCCACTGGCAGTGAAGGAATGCTAGAGCTGCTCCACATCCCTGTCAATGCATAGTATCATCAGTCTTTTAAATTTCAGCCATTCTACTGGGTGTGTAGTAGTACCTCATTGGGAACTGAATTTGCATTTCCCCAATGATTAATGACACTGAGCAGCATTTCATGTGCTTAACTGTATATCTTCCTCAGTGAAGTGTCTCTTTAATTGATTTGCACATTTTTAATAGGGTTATATATCTTCTTAATGAACTGTAAGAATTCTTCATGTCTTCTAAATAACAGTCTTTAATCAGATAAATGTTTTGCAAATATTCAGTATTTAAATTGCTTTTTCACTTTCTTAACAGTATTTTCAAAACAAGTGTTTAAATTTTTGATGAGTTTACCAATTCATTCTTTTGTATTTCTTGCTTTTATGTCTTAAGAGATCCTTGATTAACCCAAGACCATTGAGATTTTTGCCTGTTTTCTATAAGTTTTATAGTTTCAGCTGCTGCACTTTAGTCTCTGATCAATCTTGAGTTAATTTTTGTATAGAGTGTGGAAGAAAGATCAAATTTTGTCTTTTTGCTTTTTCTAATGTAGTTATCCAATTCTTCAAGCACCGATTTTTTAAAATATTATAATTTCCGCCACTAAATTACCTTGGTGCATTAGTCAAAAACCAATTGTTTATGTCTATGCAGGTCTATATTGAAACTCTCTATTCCGTTCCATTAATCTATATTCCTATCCGTATGCCTAAACCAGACCTCTGTGATTAGTGCAGCTGTCAGGTAGCTAAAGTCCCCTACTTTGGCCCTAACTGGTTTGGCTCAGTGGATAGAGTGCTGGCCTGCGGACTGAAGGGTCCCATGTTCGATTCCAGTCAAGGGCATGAACCTTGGTTGCAGGCACATCCCAATGAGGGGTGTGCAGGAGGCAGCTGATTGATGTTTCTAACTCTCTATCCCTCTTCCTGAAGAGAGGGACATGATGGATGCAGAATCACTATTTCTACCCACAGGTTTTAGTTGTACTACTAGAGATACACAGAATGAGTCAATAGCCTTTTCCCATAGCCCTTCATATATGTGAATACTGCTATTGTGTTTGTCCATTAGGGATAAGGATGAGAAAGGACAGTTGTAAAAAGGGAGAGACTGAAATCAGGATGACCAGTTGACTAGTCTTTGGTGATCTGTACAAGGCTTGAAATGATAACAGCACATAATTATGAAGAGAAAGGAATGACTATGATTTCATGTAACCACAAACCTTTTTTCCAATTGAGAAATGTTTTTAAAAGTTGAATGTGTATCTCATTTCACTTTTAAATTCACTTTAAATTCTAATGGGCAGCTTCAAACCAAGTTCTATACTGATATACGACAGTCCAGAAAGATAATCACATGTACTCTTGCCAATTATCTACACTAATAAAAGAGAAACATGCAAATTGGTATCACTCCGCTATGCCAACCAGCCAATCAGGATGAGTAAGCAAATTAACCCAACAAAGATGGCAGTTAATTTGCATATGCAGGCATGGAGTGAAGATTGAAGGCTCCCGCCCGAGTGAAGCCTGAAGACTGAAGACAACTGAAGACTGAAGAGGCTTGGCTTCGCTGCTGTGGCCAGAGTGGAGAAGCCTCCAGGCGTGGCTTCTCTGCTGCAGCCGGAGCAAAGGCCTGGGTCCCGGGTGCTGGAGGAAAACCAGTGCCAGCAGCAGCCAAGGGAAGGAAGGCCTATTGCACGAATCTCTTCATGCAATGGGCCTCTAGTTTTACATACTTTCTCAGGACTACGGTATTCTTGAAAGATAAACATAAAAGTTACTGAGGTTGTATTTCTTAAACATTCCCTTCAGCATTAATGGGTGCTTTCCAACTAAAAGAAGTCTAAATTCTTAAATTCACACTTGTGCAACATAAAATATGCTGTAATTAAATCATAATTTTATCTTGATCAATTAACTCATCAATATTTTCAGAATATCTGGCCATTTCATTTTGATGATAACACTAAAACACTCTCATAATTACACATACTAAATAATGTCTCCTTATGTATCCATTCACAGGATATTTGGGGAAGTATAAGACATAAGCAATATTATATTAAAAAATAAGTACCCTATGACCAAATAAAACAAATTTCAAAGTTTGACCTTAGTTGGCTCAAGACTACTTTCCTGTATATTTGTTTTCCAAGCTACAATTTTCAGAACCCCAGGATTGGATATAAATTTTAAGATCCAAAAGAATGCACCCTCTATCCTATTAAAGTTGGAAAAGCAATAGTTTACCAAAGTATAATTTTATTTGTTTCTTTAAAACAAAAAAATATTTTTAAAGCATTATTAACCTCAAATCATTCAGTCTGCTTATCTAAATAACATGTATCATTGAATATATGCATAATCATTTCAATTTACTATGTAACTGATTTTATTAAAAGGATTTGAGGCAAAAAGTCTTATTTATTGAGGACATAATGAGAAATTCTATCTTCATAGCAATTCTTATTGTATTAGCAATAAGGCACACTAAAAAAGCTCAATAATTAACCATAGTGATTTATACTGTACACTCCTGATCTTCATGTCTTTCTAGAATACTATAATTTTTAGTTTTAAATTACATTTGCATGAACTAGTTACATTGAAGAAAAATAAAAAAAAAACTAAAGGCAAAATTTTAGCATTTAGGTAAACTTCTTGTTATAATTACGTATATCTGTAAGTATAATCATAGAAAATTTAAACAAAATATCAAGTAATGAAATTGTACGTATCTGAAGCCACAGGTTTACCTGACGTTGCCCTTGGTGTTTCTGAGAACTGTTGCAGCAAAATTCTGTGTGACTCCCACCAAGCTGATCCCATCCACTTCTACAATCTGGTCATTGACTTGTATCCTTTGGGAAGAGGGAAAAAATTAGCCATATTTAATTTTTACAATGACGTATTTCCATCACAATCAATTAGTTGACAAAATAGTTGCTTTAAAAGATACTCTTATTGATACAAAATTTGTCTTTTATATGTAAGCTCTAGATCTTAGTCAAATGCTTAATGTTTTTAAAAGATTATTTTGAAGAATAGAAATAGGCAATACTAAATGAAGAGATTCCCTTTATCTAACATCCAAATTCCTATCACAAAGAGTTGATAACTGTTAATGTATGACATATTTACATCTTTTTTTGTCTTTAAAATTACTTAAAACATAACAAATGCAGCTTAAATACCCGTTGGGCTTCATACCTTGTCCCACTTCTCCTCTCCAAGGAAGAACAACAAGAATTGCAGGGAATCCTTCACGTATATAAATTTTATATGTACATACATAAAGGTGTGTGTGTTTGTGTGTATTTTGTTTAGGAGCAATATACAGTCTTAGTGTTATTTGATGTAGAATGCCCTTAAATTTACATACATGTTTTATATATATTTTTTAATTATTCAAAATGAAGTATTTCAATCATAGAAAAATACAGAGGGAATTAGATAATAAACACTCATGTACCAATATCCAATTTTATCAGATCTTAGCACTATGCAATATTTGAGTTTTTTTCTGAACAAATTTATTACAGAAAAGCTGAAGCCCTTTAATATTTGTCTCATTCTATTCCCTTCACTGCTTCCACAGAGGTTAGGTAACCATCATACTGATTTTGATGGTTAGCCTTTCTACTGATGTTTTGAAATACAAATAACACATATGCACAAATAGGCATAATATGTGTACATTTCCAGTTTCAAACTTCATCGTAAATCTCTTTTTCTACAATTTAGTTTGCTTCACTCAACGTTATATATGAGATTTATCCATGATTATAAATACAATTTTAGCTAGTTCACTTTAACAACCATAGTATTATTTTTATGAATATACCAAAATATATCCATCCATTTTGTGCAGATGGACAAGTATATTATTTTAAGTTTTAGCTATTATGATTACTACTGTAATAATCAATTTCATACATGTCTCTTTACACACTTGTTTCTCTAGGATGTATGCCTAGAAGGAGAACTCCTGAGTCAAAGAACAGAGGCTTTTTCAACTTGAACAAACTGATAAAGTTCAGTTCAAAATGCTTACACCAATGCATATTCTCAGCAGCATTATATGAAAAGTTCTGACTCTCCACACCCTCACCAACACTTAGTATATTCAGACCCTTCACCTACTGCAGATTTTGTCCATGTAAAAAGATACACATTGTAATTTTAATTGCATTTCCCTGATTACCTGTGTGGCTGAATGTTTTATCATATGTTTACAAGTCAACTGTTTACTTTTGCACACTGTTAGATCATGTCTTTTACTCATTTTTTGTTGATGTTGGGTTGTGTCTTTTTTTTTCTTATTGGTTTACATAATGTTTTTCTACATCCTGTATAATAACACTGTCTCAATTAGATATGTAGCAAATACTTTTGCCCCAATCTGTAGCTTGTCTTTTCACATTTCTCTGGAGAACAGTGGTTTTGAGGCAAACAATTTAATGAGATATATATATACACATAATTACATTTATAATTTTAACTTTATATTAAGTAGTTTTTGTGTTTTGTTAAGAAATCTTTCTCTGCCTCAATATTATAAAATTATTCTACATTTTCTTCTATAGGTTTTAACATTTTGTTTTTCTGCATGGTAGATATCCACCTGGATATTATTTTTTATTATAATGTGTTAGCAATCTTTTTATTTTTTCAAGATATAAACAATCGGCTTAACATTTAATAAAAAGTCTGCTTTTTACTTCACTGATTTGTAATGGTTTTCAAATGTGCATCAACATGTTTTGGTTCTCTATTAGCTTCTACTTGTCTGTTTATCTATCTCTGCATACTGTATTGCTTCATAACTAGTTTTAACACTTGTTAGGGCCATTTCTTTACCTAGTTCATGGCCGTCAAAAATTTCTGAGCTATTCTTGAGCATCTTTTCATAACTAGTTTTAGATTTACTTGCCAAATTCTATAAAAACACATACTAGTTGGTATTTTAATAACATCATACTGATTTTTAAGATTAATTTATGGAAAACTGGTATCTTTATCATATTGACTCTTCCCATCAATAAAAATTGGGTGCTATTACAATCACACTAGGTAAATGTTTTGCCATGTTAAGAAAAGTTATTTAAAGCTTGTAAATAGGAATTAAAGAAGGGCAACATTTCCTTTGAATGTCGTATAGGTGCATTACTTAACAGGCCCAACAAAGGATAATTTGGGGGATTGTATTTTAATTGATCCACTGTTTAATATTGACTAAAAGTCCTAGACATATTGTAGTTGCATGTTAATTTGCAGATATTTTTCCTGAAAAAAAAGTTGAATACTTTTCTTCTGTTAGAAAAGATAATCCCATAGGCCATAATTTATATCTCTGTGGAATATTAACCAGTTTTATATCAAACATATATCATACAGCCTATGAGTGTAGTATATACCATTTATATTTGTGTAAGTATACTCTAGGATGCTCACACAATGCCAAAATCACTTAATGATGCATTTCTCAGAACATATCTCTGTAGTTAGGTGGCACATGACTATATATTCAACTCTTCATATGCATGTGCTAAAATGTTTCGAAGTTACTATAACTTTGCATTATATTAAAAAATGCATTCATCCTTTCACTTTAAGGAGTAAGAATACTGTGTGTGGCTATGGAAAATGATATTTGCTAGCCTGCTAAATTGCTTGCATATGATAGGCAATTATTAAGTTCCTATCTACCAGTGCAGGTTAAAAAGAAGTTAGTTAGGTAGGCCACAAGTTCAATTTAATATGGACAATGAAGCTATACCCAGAAGCAATAGTGACAGAAAAAAAATAATTGTGCAGATGAGCTAATGAAATGAATTTTTGTTTTTCTAGAAAAAGGATAGTACCCACCAGCTATAGAATATGAAAGAACATACTGAAAATACATACAACTTCAGTGTGTATATTAAATTGAGGACAGTTTGAAGAAGTGACTGTTATTTGCTTGCATCTTTCCCTGAGAGAGAATAACCTTTCATGCAACCTCACAGAATAGTAACACTGAAAAGCCCTCTCAAGTGTTGGCTCATAATTAGAAGCACAAAAAAGCCAAGGATGAGTCCTGGCAGTAAAAGTTAAATGGCCAGCTCTCTGCATCAGACCAACCCACAATGAAGAATATGTATAATCTGGATTTTCCAAAATTTTCCACAACAGCAGAGAAAATAGCCTATTTGCCCTGGAACAGTGACCACTGGAATGGAATTTATGGGAATGTACCTGACTAATCTATAAAAGGCATCTCGTACCGGCCATTTCCTCAACAGTTTCCATGTGCTAACCAACACGTGTGCAACACTACTGCTCTCAGCTGCAGTCTGACATTTCTGATAACCCTCAATTCTGAATCTATAAACCAGTACCAAGGGGGTAAGGCTAATAAAATATATAAGTTGGATTGTTCTAGGATTTGTTTAATGTTACTGGGTAGTTATTTACTGACATGATGTATTGGGCAAGGGGAAACAACAAAAAAAAACCCTCTACCTCACTGGGCTTATGCAAACAAAGCAACCAACAATGAATGAAAGGAAGACCAGCTGGAGCAACAGTAATGGTCAACAGAATCTTCCCCAAAATGCTAGATAGTGAAGCTCTGAATGCATATGAAAATACATACCTATCAAAGCAGTAATATCCCAACTTGCTCAGGGGGGGAACAAGCAAAATATTTGATTAGAAGAGTGACACAGGAGTGTGTGCACAGAGGAAACCATGGACTAATGAATCATGGCGAGTAGGCACAATTAAAATGGCAGTTTCCACTCAGGGTTCTCGCAGGCTTGAGGATAGATACTTCAGGGGCACAGAGGGGCCCTACAGGAGGGCGAGTTTGTGGCAGGGTAGTCATAAGAATAAGACTCTTCACCTGTTTCATATGTTGGTGTTACTGAAAAGATGGTCAAAAACAATTCAAATTATTTGAAAACCCAACACTTGAATAATGATAAATTACAAAGTGCCTCAATTTCACCTTCGATATTCCCCTCCTCAAACCTCAAAGAACAGTACTGTAAACTGATGGTATCCAAAAGGTTGAGAAACAACCAGAAGAGACAAAAACAAAGCAGATTGCAAGAGCATTTTTAATTTGCCTCTGTAACACAGCATTGTTACTACCTTTTGTCAGTTATCACCCACGTATTTTATTCCATCAGTATTTTCAATTGGGTTATTATGAAATGCATTTTGCTTTGTAAGTTCATTAAAGAGGACTGGAGAAATAGTGTGTTAAAGTGTTTTGTGTACAATCATAAAATTTATGGCAGCAAAAACTAATGGTTAATACATTTAATATTATTTTACTATAAAATTAGAATAAAAACAGAAGGTGGAAATAGCTATCATGTCACTCAGCTAAATTACAAGCTACCCTGTATAAAGGCAAGGTTGCACAAAAAGGAAGAAAGAGAGAGGAAGATAGAAGGAAAAAAAAGAAGGGGAGGGGAGAAGAGTGGCAGAAGGAGTAGGAAAGGTAAGAAGAGAATAAATATAAAAAGAAAAATTTAGGCCCAAGTAAACATTTTGAAAGTGATTGAAGCACAAGGATTCATTCACTCAACAAATATTTATTGAGCACCCTCTATGTTCCAGGCAGCATTTGAAAAGATGGAGACAGACATGAAAATCTTGACAAGAGAAAATTTAGAAACTAGAACATAATATCAAAGAACAAGGACTCAAAACTTTTTAACTATACTGGATGACACAGGAGATAAATATCCATGGCAAATTTTAAAAAGTACTTAAAATGTGGTAAGAGTTCAAGATGTTTGTAAGGGATAAAAGCAATCACAATAAAAAGGCTTCTTGTGCTGGGGTAGGAAGGAGGGAGAAAAGAATTTTCTATATATTTTTTAACATCCCTTGAAAATAGTCTGACCAAATCTGAGATTAAATTAAAAGAGTTTTTTCAAATAAGGAAAAGTTATTTAGAAACGAAGGCAAGCTAGAAAGGTATAATACAGACTCTTATCCTTTTAAAGTTAAAAGGAACTATACAGAACATCGAGCTCTGGCCAGTGTGGTTCAGTTGGTTGAGTGCTGTCCTGTGCACCGAGAGGTCACTGGTTCAATTTCCGGTCAGGGTACACGCCCAAGTTCTGAGCCTCAATCCCCAGTAGGAGCCATGCAGGAGGCAGCCAATCAATGTTTTGATATTTCTGAGGTGAAAGTATGTGCTGATCTCCGCAGAACATATTCTTAAACTGAGGACACCCATGTGTCTGCCCACTTCCTACTATATAAATAGATACGTGGATAGATACCAAGTTAGACATAGATAATAGATCTATCCACCCATTTTCATAGGTATTCTGCCTACAAATCAGAAAGTAATTCAAGTTTTTAACATTTTCTACATATGAGACACACTCATAGTCTGTCCTAAAAAATCAAAAGAAGAAAGCTGAAAAAAAGATCCCAGAAAAGTTTCCTAGACGTTAGTGGTCAAAAGCAGTGACTAGCTTACCTGCCATCCCGCTGCGCAGCACCACCTTCTGTTACTGTCTTGACAAATATTCCCAGCTTTTCCAGTCCAGCATCGGCTCCAACACCCATTCCAATAATACTTATGCCAAGTCCATCCTCATCTATGAAAAAGGGGAAAGATACAACAATCTAAGTGTTACAGGACTCTGCAATTAACTGGTGAGGCCTATTTGATCCTTTTAATTTTGATCATCATGGATTATCCCATAGTTCATATGATATAAACTTGCCTTGGAGAATTTTTTTTCTTATGCCAGGGAGCAAGGGTATCAAAGAAGAACCCCCAAAAGGCTCATGAGTTTAGTTTATTATTACTGCGGTTAGCTATTTACTGTGAACCAAAAAAAAGGTAATAGTTTGATTATTGAGTGATTAATCTGCCTTAAAACATGGCCCCTCTAAACAATATAATTTAATATTTTAAGCACAAAAGCATAGCTAAACAGTTATATATTCTTTTATTTGTTTGCTTTGTTTGTTTATATTGGCAGAGTAATAAAATTCTTGAGTCATACTTTCTTTTCCTGAGAAAAGGATGTTCTATTGCCTTTTTAAAAAATTTATCTTTATTGTTGAAAGTACAGTGGGGCCTTGACTTACGAGTTTAATTCGTTCCGAGACCGAGCTCGTTAAGGAGCTCGCTAAGAAGCTCATTAACTCAAATTACTCTGTCAACTCAATGCAAAAAATTGGCCAAGAGACAGCTGGTATCTCAAAAAACTCGTTAGTCGGGACACTCGTAAGTCAAGGCCCCACTGTATTAGAGATGTGTCCCCATTTTCCCCCACTGACTCCTAGCCGGCACTCAACCCCTCCCCAGGCCTTCACCACACTATTGTCTGTGTCCATGGATTATGCATACATGCATACATGCTCTTTGGTTAATCTCTTCCCACCCACCCCCCCACCTCTGCCT